CATATCACATAAATGATTGGCTCAAATTTTATTTAACCTAATCACTCACACTAAATCATCACGAAATTGGAGATTTTGCCCATTTTTTTTTTTTTAGAGTTAGGTTAGGGTTTAGGGAAAGTGAATTTTAGTAGGTATTATACCGGGTGTTCCAAAAGTCACTCAACAGTCCTGTTTTTTACGATAAATTTATATTAATCAAATATTAATAATTATTTAACTAATATTTTGCATAAATAATCATTAAGTATCATGATCTAAAAAAATACAGGGACTGTTGAGTGACTTTTGGAACACCCGGTAGCTTTAAATAGAGACTTCAATCTCGGCTTCAGCCAATCTCAACTTCAGCCGTCACATTTATTATTTATCAATTTAATAAATAAATAAATTTGATCAGTTAACACACTGCATTATATATTAAATAATAGCGGACGTTGAAACAATAATATGCAATTCTAATGAAAAGGAACCGTCTCGTGTTGAACTGAATAAAATATTCGATGAATTGAAACGCTCAAAGATGATTACTAATATTTATGATTGTCAAATTTTTGCTTCAATAATGAACAAAAAACATAGAAACATATTTTCTCTACATGTAGTATATATAGATAAAAATACACCGGAAATTTTTGTTAAACGTATTCCGGTGAAAAAAAGTCAAAAAAAAAAAGAACCGAAAGAAAGCCAACAAAAAATTTCAATCGGGTGGATTATTGTGGGCTATCCGAGAAACTTTGATTTCGATAATACGGACGTAATACTCAAAAGTGATAAATATCTTGTTTCAGAAAACGGAACTCACTTTGTAGCTAAAGACCTAGGTTACGAAGATAAGGAGCGTTCAACTGGCTGCATATTATGTACGTGTGTAATTGAAGCTCCAGAAAAAACTGAGTCTCAATATAATCCGTACAAATCACCATTAATTTTTGGTACACATTTTGATACAAATGACAATTCTGCATGTATATTTACTAATGAAGTCGAAAATAATGTAGTTCCTAGATTGAAATTATTTTCTAGGTGAGCAGAACCTTTTTCATATTTAATTGGCATTATATTGTGTTATTATGTTACTAATTTTATTTATATATAGTACTGTTGACACATGCGTTAGTAGGGGTAACTCTGGACAGATTAATATTAAATGGAGTCAGATTAATATTAAATGGAAAGATGCCTTTACATTTCTGTCTGGTAGAAATTGTTCAAACGTTCAACTGTACCACGGAACTTTAAATGTAGATGTAGGTTCTAAGAAAGCTACTAACGGAAAAGAAAAACATTCTAAGAATTCTGAGACTCCTATATTATTAGTCAATCAGCTTGTTGATGATTGTTCAACAAACGTTCATGGATTCCTCAATGTAAAAGATGTAAAGGTAGATAATGTAGATATAGATTCTGTCGGAGTTATTTATGGTTCATTGAATTCAAGACTCTCAAAAGAAGACGGGAAAATAGCCTATCTGGTAGTTCACAAAACCTAACAAACAAGTTCTAATAGAGAATTCAATAAAGCTATTTATTTCCCGTCAGATATTTATTAGGTCGATGTATTTAAAACTGTTATTTTTGGCAAAGACATGATTAGATTGGATGTATTTAAAATTATTATTAGTTGAGCGAAGATATTATTAGGTCAATATTTTTAAAATTGCCATTATTTCGGCAAAGACATTATTGTTCAGATGTATTTAAGATATTATTAGGTCGGATGCATTTAAAATCGTTCTTTGGTGAACGAAAGTATTATTAAATCTGGTGTATTTAAAATTGATATTTGCTGGACTAAGATAATATTAGGTTGGCTATTTTTAAAATTGTGAAAATGCTATTTATTGAAAAGCAGGATAATATTTTGAATATATTGTTTACATTTTAAATTAGTTATTGAAGAAAGATTGCGTCTTTTACGAAGTCTAAATAATTGACTATGACCATTTCTTGGAGCTTGGATTGTTTCTCTTTTTTATTTATTGAGTCGATGTCCAATCGTCACTTGCATAGTTTACTATTCTTTGTTTATTGTTTGTATTATTTGTTGCTTGCAGTGTTGGTTGTTCTAATGTTGCATTGTTTGTCCGTTCGTTCTTTATATTTTACTTGCATTATTAGTTGGTGCTGATATTGGTGGTGAATCAGTGTCTTCTTCAAGAGAATTGATCATTGTGTGTCCGAATTATCGATCGTTAAAGTTTTATTTGACATCTCAAGAGAGAATTTTTTTTAAAATTACTGCGCAATGATAAATCATATTTATATTAAATTAGTGATTAAATTATTGAATCAAGGCTATATTATAGTTACGCACGGTTGTTGTCACATAAGACCCGTAAGATAATATATTTATTATATCAGATATGGATATCCGAGTGTAACTAATTGCACACGGGTTTATAACGACCCTAGCGTCGCCTGTAAAAAATGGTAGCCGGATAGGTTTGCCGTTTATCGGACAATCCTTATTCGGTGCCGCTCATTTCACCGACACTCATTATCATTTCACCGACAATCAATTCACCGACATGTCGACACTTAATTCACCGACACTTGATTCACCGACATGCTTAATTCACCGACAGCTCAATTCGCCGATAATTCACCGACACTCAATTCGCCGACACTCAATTCACCGACACTCAATTCACCGACAATTACAGCTATTATCGTTATTATAATTCCTGAAACACCCGGTAAAAATTAACCGAATGATTTTTCAGCCGATTCGGTTAAGTTTATGATTTTGGCATAACAGTCACACGATTTGTCACATCCAAAATTTTATCATAAATTACACAAGTTGACGAATTTACATTTTTTAACTTTTCTCCCAATACCTTAGCCGCAGCACATAATGTTCT